CAGCAAAACTTTACGAGGAAAAAAACGATTTAGTTTATCGAGTACATCCGATGACCGATCAAATACTAGATTATGTCTGGGATTATGGCTGCCTTAAATCAGAGGATGAGCGAAATTATATTAATATAATGGTGAAGGCTCAGTTAGGTCATCCATATTTTGCGGAACTATTGTATGCATCTCAAGAATTCATTCGAAACGTCGAAGAACCCTTTAGCGTTAGTTTAAGAGACGTAAAACGCGCAATCAAACTTTTTAAATTTTTCCGCGATAGTTATAAAAACCTGATAAAAATTTTAAATAGGGATTCACACAGGAATTTAAAGAATAGTTTGAATTCTGTTTCTAATGAGGCACGCTCGATAGTGTTAGCACTTGGTACTTGCTATCTTTTCAGACTTCATGATCAATCGAAACGCAGGAATTATCGGAATGAAATGATCGAGATCATAAAAAAACATGATAAAAACTTTCCGAAGCAATCGAAATTTTCGAATAAAGATTCTTTTGAATTCATAATCCAGAGCGAACAAGAAGCTTATGTTAAATGTTATCCCGACGGAACTGCGTGGAATGAAGCACTCTTCGAGAATATCCTCGTGATGATTGTGTGCATACAAACTCGAATTCCAGTTTTTATTATCGGAGCACCCGGAAGGTAATGGATAAATATTTTATAAAAACTAATATATAATTCTAATAGCATTTTAATTTATTTTAAATAGCTCGAAATCTTTAGCCGTGCGCATTATTAGTATGAATATGCGTGGCACCGATTCAAAAGATCCTTATTTTCGAACTTTACCTCAAGTTTACATGATACCCCATCAAGGTTCAACTTCATCAACGTCCGAGGGTATTGAAAAGGTATTTAAATCCGGCCAGAATTTTAAGGAGACTAGTTCTGAAGAGAATCCTGTGACCTCGGTTGTCCTTTTAGACGAAGGTAAGTGGTGATAAATTAGAATGTAGGATGTATTGATAACTTTAATTTATTCTTTTCAATTTTATAGTCGGGTTGGCAGAAACTAGCCCGCACAATCCATTGAAGGTACTGCACGCTTTATTAGAACCCCCCTTTGGTTCCGACGATGACGTACCAACAGTTTCGGTTATTGGAATTAGCAA